ACCAGGCCTGCCTGCACACCACCCTGTCCCACCATGATGATAATGGACTGAACCTTTGAACTGTAAGCGAGCCACCCAAATTAAATGTTTTCCTTTATGAGTTGCTGTGGTCATGGAGTCTCTTCACAGCAATAGAAACCTGAACTAAGACATTGGGATTCCATTGCAACTTAGGCTTCATATTCCTGGCTTTAAATCTATCAGGCCTTCCTTGCAGGGAATCTATCCACACTGCACATTGCCTTGTTCCATTGGCTTTCTGGAATCTTGGTGTAAGCAACTATAACTCTTTTACTTATATCTTTCTTGCCTATAAAACAAATACTGCATAGACATTGCCCAGGTCTGCTATCCCAAGCACAGCCACACAGCTCTGCTAGGCCTTGCCCTTCTCCCATTTCCTCTGTTTTGCTAAAAAAAAAAAAACAAAACAAAAACAAAAACAAAAAAAACCCAATAGATTACATTCTTAACACTAGCCACCAAGGTCTGTTCCCTTATTTGGCCTCTTCCTTCTCCTGAGGCTGACTACCAAGGTTCAGCTATCAAAGTATTGAAGTCCAGCAATCAAAATCCCCCTTTGGTCCACCTAATTAACATGCCCAATTAAAATTAAACATGTCATCCTAACACATGGCTTCCCCTTTTACCTTTATAAACCATTTGCCTGTGGGCCACATCTGTCTCCTCCATCCAGAGGTAGTCCATTGTCCCCACCTCTGGAACAAATACCTCTTTCCCCCCTCCCTTGTTCTTTCCCCTTCTCCCTCATCCTCTGTCTCCTGTCTTTGTCTTCTTATTCCCTGTCCTCTGTCCCTTTGGGGCAAATAAATCTCCTTTGTGCTGAGAACTTGGTCTTGGGGGTGCTGAGCTGAAATGTCCCCTTCAGCCTGCCCCACCCCTTCCTGGCTGGCTCTGGAGAAACGCTTTACTAGGTGACCATTCTGGAGCAGGGGACTGCTATGGTGGCATCCTAAGTATAGGCCCTCTTCTTTCTACTAACCTACATTTTCATAAGTTGGAACCTTTGGTGATGAATGTGGACAATATGCACTTTCCCTATCGTCCCTGTGAAGAAGGTAAAGTTTCTCTTTAATGTTGCTAATTTCACTAACAATTTCAGATGTGCTGTCTGTGACCTCCTTGTCCACAACTTTAAATTTCTCTCTTGTTTTTCCTCACCAAACTGCATGTTTTCATATTGTTCTGCTCTTAGTGTAGCTCTGAAGTAAAAACAGTGAGCAGCAGACCCACCACTGACAAGGGAGGTCAATGTAATATGGAATATAATATATTTATTTACCAGAGAAAGAACTTATACACAAGCTGGGGGGTCAGAAGCATGGCAGACTTCCAAAGAGAGTGAGAGAGTACTTTTCTTTTCCTTAAATAGCCCACCTGTGTTAATCTTCATATCCCTGCCCTTTTGGGTGGATAGTTTTGTGGGCTCACCCCTACAGTCACAGCCTGACAGTGCTTTGCTGTCTTGAAATTTCTTGCACCGAGGACTATTACCCCATTGCTCTCGGATTCAGCCTCATGTAAATTTGAAGGACTAGGCAGAAGGAAGCCAGAGTCTTTGTTGGAGTGTAACACAAATGGCCTCTAGCCCAGTTCCTGATAGTCTTTGTTCACTTCTGAAACTTTTTTTTTCTCAGCATTCTAGTTCTCCAAACTCCCACAAGCCTGGCCCATTGAGCTCAACTTGCAGAATTCCAGGGATTCTGGATATATATATATATATATATATATATATATATATATTAACTCCAAATTCTTCCATGTTCCTCCCACAAAGTTTCAAAGGCCTTCAAACCACATGGTCATGTTTATAACAGCAACAGTCACACCCTTGGTACTGATTTTCCGTGACACACACTTCTCTTGTTGCTGTGACAAAAGACCCAACAAGATGATTTGAGGCATGAAATGTTTCTTTTGGCCACAGTTTGAGGGTACAGTTTGTTGTGGACAGGAAGCAATAATGGTAGTTGTATGGAACCGCTAGTTACACTTCATCCACAGACAAGAAGGAGAGAGAGATGAATTTTATTAGTCAGTTTGCTTTCTCTTTTTTCATTCATTCTGGAATTCCAGCCCATGGGATGGTACTGTGCATACTCAGTTAAACCACCTCTTCAATTACACTTTTCTGGAAACATGTCTTAGACATACCCATGGTGATTCTAAAACCAATCAAACAAAAAGTAATAATCATGAGTGTATATATATAAAGTATTACAAAAAATGATATGATGTCTGGAGTGTCCTTCAAAGTAACGCAACAGAAGAGAAATGAGGTAGCTATGTGTCAACCTAAAATTGGTAGCTGGTCATTCTTGAATTCTGTTAGTTTCTCTTTTACAAGAACTATTTGAAATTTTCCATATTAAGATGATCAAAAGGAAAAAAATGATCAAAAGGTCATGATATCACTGTTCTTTCCCTTCGAAAGTTAGTGTTGATGATAAATCCTGTTATCTCTTCTGGGGAAGGGGAATTGGAGCATACTTGGCAGTCAGTACAAGGAGGTCTCAGAAGTTTGAACCAGTGGTAGCCTTAACAGCAGCAGGGAAAACCAGTGGAGGCTTGGTCTGATCATGAAAAAGTAAAAACCCACAGGACAGTGGTGGCACACAGCTTTAATCCCAAGAAGCAGGTGGGTCTCTGTGAGTTCGAGGCCAGCCTGGTTTACAAAGTGAGTTCCAGGACAGCCAGGGCTGCCGAGAGAAACTTTGTCTAGGGAAACAGAAAAAAGAAAGTAAAAAAAAAAAAAAAAAAAAAAAAGTTGTGCTGAACCCAAGAGTTCAACAGCAATAGGCTTGCCCTGTGAGTCAGTTGGCTTTTTTGAGCAAGGGTTTGATTCATCATGAGTCTCTAACAGTGCTTTGCTCATATAAGATGCTCACCATACTGCTAGCTGAGGTATGTGTGGGAAAAGAGCAACCAAGTAATCCTGGCCCTTGTGAGAGCCCTAAACCCTATCTGGAAACCAGTATCAGTAGCATGAAAATAATGTGTATACACATTGTGCTCAAGGAACATGGGAAACAGGAACGCTTCTGTTAGTCTATAGTCAGGTTTTACAGAGGAAACAGCTGAGGGGTTAAAATTTTAAGACCAGTATAGTGTTTGCCAGAACAAGAGGCAGAAGGAAGAGGTCATTTCAGGAAGAAGGAAATAATGAAATAATGTGTCAGACAGCATGAAACCACAGTGATGTGTTCTGGGAACTACAAGTATTTGTTTGGCTGGATCATAATGTCAGGGTTTCCAGAGTTTATTCCTCAGGCTGCAACATACAACCTTATTCTGGGCCTAAAACAAGGGAAAGGCCTGAATCTTTAAATCCTATTGGCCTTTAAAAACTACTTTACTGGGGCAGGGGAGGGGGCTCAGCGGTTAAAAGCACTGGCTGTTATTCCAGAGAACCTAGGTTCAATGCCAAGTACCGACAAGTTGGCTTGCAATCATCTGTAACTCCGGTTTCAGGGATCTCCAAGGGCATCAGTACACAGATATGCAGGCAAAACACTCATATATGGAAGATAAATAAGTGACTTTAGTAATGGGAGTGGGAGAAGTCAGTCAACTTCAAAGCTGCTACTCCTAGCTGGAACCCAGGCTGTGTTTCAGACCTCGGATGCAACGCCAAAGACAAAGCAGAGCAGGAGAAGGTTGAAGGTCTGACATAACACACATGGTCTGAGCAACAACGACCGATTTCCTGTAATTACAGACCCTGGTACAAAGAAGGAAGAGAAATGAGTCAACCAGAAATCAAAGCTCCAAACCTCGTGTTGCAGCTCCTTTAGGAGTTTGCTTGGTGGAAATAAAGAGATGAACAAAATATGATTTCACAAATCTCGCTGCTTATTGCCACACAGAGGGAACTTTGGGCCTTTTGCTCCCCCTTCTTAAAGAGGCAGAATAACATGAAAGAATCTCACAGGGAACACACATAGCAGATGAGGCATACCACATAGTGAGTGAGTTTTGAAATCGTGGGCTCAGTTGCTCCATCAGGACAGAAGCAGGCCTCTGCTGAAAGTGCAGCCTAATTAAAGACCTGGAGCTCCTTTATGTAAGTGGTTCTCAGGAGAGAAACTGGTTTGACCAATTCAGCAGAGATCTGTGAGGGTACCCGTGGAGGATAATGTGGGTGTAAGTCAGGCTTGGGAGATGAATTGGTCTGTCACAGCATATTCCTCTGTGTGTGTGTCTTCAGAGAAATGCCTGATAATGTATGGCTATGCTACAAGCTCTTAAAGTGTCCAATTCTTAGGCTTATATGTATTTTGATATTCAGTAGCTCATATGTGATGAGGTATATGACGTCACCTCGGTGGGAAGGAGAGATCTCACATCTGTTGGAGTTTAGTAAGACTTCACATTCTTAAAAGAAACGGGGAGACGCTTTTCAAGTTCGGGGAGATGTTCTACCACTGAGCGTCACAAACCCCAGCTCTACCCAGCTTACGCCCCAGGTTTTTACCAGAGCAAGGAGTTATCACACATGAGCTTAACTAAATTAGGTGTGTTCAGGATCATTTCATGGTACACAAAAAATTACCCACCCACTATGTTATTTTATCACAGGACTATTTACCAGCAAGCATTTATTTCCAAACAAATCCCCCCTCTTTCCCCCTTTTCTTTTGATTGACGTAACACCTGCGTCTTCACCCAAATTAGACTCCTACACGTTACATATGAACTAACGAAAAGGGTCTATGCAAACCCTTGAGAGAAGAGCAACAACGAATCAACAAAGTCGGTAACGAGAAGCATCCGGACACGAGGGCGGCTTTGTTTTGTTTGTTTTGGTTTTCTTTCTTTTAAGTGGTTTAGATAGCGAGGCCTTTGCCGTGTGCCTTGCGCAGTCAACTCCACCCTCTGAGAGATTTCACTCAACCGCAGTCCCACGCTTGCCCGGCCGAACCACACATATTTCCCCAGACTTGGGGACTCGAGATGCCCGGTTGCACAACACACTAGCGTCTGCAATCTCCAGCACGGCCACCCACAGCAGGGAGGCACAAGACCCTTACGCCTGCGCACACCTTACGGCCGCGGGCAGGGCCCCACCACTTCCGTCGCCACGCCCTCACGCTCACGCCCCTCCAGGTGCGCGTGCGCCGCGGGCCCGCCCCCGCCGCGCTCAGCGGTCTCTCGCGAGCCGCTGCCGCCTCCCCAGAGCTGCGGGTCGGCCTGGAGCGAGCAGCCTCGCTCGGCGCTCGCTCTCTTCCTCTGCAGCCCGGCCGGGCGGCCATGGCGGTGCGGCGGCGGCGGCGGCGACCCGCGCCGGGCGTGGGAGCCCGGGACACGCTCGCGTTGCTGGCGCTGGCCTTGTGTGCTCCCGGTGTGGGCGGCGGGGCGCTCGAGTGGTACTCGGCCGTGGTGGCCATCGAGTACGTGGACCCGCAGTCGAACCTGACGGTGTTGAGCGAGTCCGAGAGCGGCCGCTTCGGCGATAGCTCGCCCAGGGAGAACAAGCAGGGCCTGGTGGGCATCCCGCGCGCGGAAGGGGACGAGGAGGGCTGCGCGCCCGACACGCGCTTCGTGGCGCCCGGCGGCCTCGGCGCCGCGCCCTGGGTCGCGCTGGTGGCGCGAGGCGGCTGCACCTTCAAGGACAAGGTGCTGGCGGCGGCGAGGAAGAACGCCACGGCCGTGGTGGTGTACAACCAGAAGCACTACGGGAACGCCACCGAGCCCATGTCGCACGCGGGTGAGCAGGCCCGGGTGCGCGCGGCCGCCCTCCGGGGCAGGGGCGAGCCTGGTGGTTTCCCGGGCGGTGGTGTGGAGAGGGAAGTGCGTGCACACGCTGGGTTGGAGCTTCACCTCGGGAGGGTGAGAAGGCCGGGAGACGTCCTCGGCAGGGGAGTAGTAAGGAAACTCTGCAGGAGGAAGGTCCTACCAATTGCAAAAGGTCTCCGGAGTCCTGATCACGGGGTCGCTTAAGGTTGCCTCGCCGTTTCCCAACATGTGGTGAGAGTGTGGGCGTGGAGGGAGATTTCTAACCCAGTGCACTCCAGGATTCCATTGTCTCCTCGACAACCTAAAGTGATGGCTTGGTGGCCCTCTGGTTTCTTCACTTTGACGAGGCGTATCTGAATATTTCAAAACCCTGAAGCGGAAAACCTGGGCTTGCTCGCTGTGTGTAGCAAGCAGGGACGCAAGCTTGTCTCTCACGACACATGGAGGGCGATCACACTCGCCCATTGTCTTTGGACGGTTCTCTGAGTTAAGATGAAATCTTTTTTTCTGTATTCATTGAAGAAAAAACCTTGCTCTCTGTCCTAAACACCCTATTCCAGGGACAGCAGATTGCACTTCAGACAAGGATGAGTTAGCAAAATACCATCCTTGGGACAGAGTTCTCTCCCTCTCCGGGGACCCAGAATTTGGACGTATTTCTGTTGCGCCTTCTAAGATCACATTAGCTTTAAGGTATCACACGGTTGACTCATTCTGAATTTCCTGTGATTACGGTTTTTGTTTCTCCTGCTACTAAGTCAGACATCCTTTTCCTGTACTGCATTTTTTGTTGTTCTGTTTTGGTTGGATGCAACACAGAATGTATAAAGTGAAAGGACATGGACTTGGCCATTTTTATAGAAGGTTGGGAACGATGGCCATTTGATGGCAAGGACATGACCTCCACTTATACAGATCAATTCTTTTTCTGGAAGGTTGACTCCAGGATAGCAGAGAAATGGGTTCAAACTGTAGGAGCATAGCAGGGTGGGGTAGGAGACGGTAAGGAAACTTTGAAAGTAATCTGCTAGAATGGAGAAATGCCTGAAGAAGTTGAGTCTTTGTGAACACAAGGTTTGGTTGGCTGCAGACAGTGGTCCCTGTGGTCATGTTGGGTCAGGCACTGTTTTTGGTGTAGTTAATCCAGTGATTACAAATTGGCCTAATTGTCATTGTACACACTCCCTGTTTCCACAAGATTCACGAAAGATCCCATCTACAGCATTCCCAAGTTCAATTCGTCAATGAAAAGAGGTTGGTGTGCTGGGCCTGATTCTGTGATGTTGGGTATGTGCATCTCTGGAAGCATACAGTCTTAATGTAGACTTATTCTTTTAAATGACAGGCTCATCACCCTACAATTTTCTAACTCTACCCTACTGCATTTTTTGATAATGACATTAACATCCTCCCAAGCAGACAACACTTGTTCTAACCATGGCTCCGTAACCTTTCTTGTATATGTTGTTGACATATAATTTATCTGGACCCAGAAAAAGACCTCAGTGATGTTAATTAGAATCTTTGGTGGAGGGACATCTGTTCCCATTATCTGCTGGGGCTGGGCAGTGGTGGCACACAACTTTCGGAAGCAGAGGCAGGCAGATTTCTGTGAGTTGTAGGCCAGCCTGAGTGAGTTCCAGGACATGTGGATCTACACAGAGAAACCCTCTCTCAAAAAATCAAAAAAGATGGCAGAAGCCAGCTTTGACAGACTATTTAAACTTGAACTGCATATTTAGAGCCACTGAGGCTGTTTAGAGGTTGCCTTCCTCTGGTCAGAATGTAGATGAAGCCAGGAAAATCCACTGATTCAGCTGTTCTTAGTGCTGATGTGTAACACTGGATTTCTATGAGACAGGCAGAGGTGTGTTTCTGAAGCTGCATACTAGTAAGAAAATCTTAAGTTGTGGGGAGAATTTCTCCCCAGTTCTGAAACCCATTTTTCCTCTTACTGGAATCTAGCACTAGATAACATTAAAAATCTAAATCATTACTGAAACTAAGGATTTTCAAAGGATCACTTTAAGATCACATACTCTCAGAACAGCAGTAAGGACTTAAAGTTATGCCTAATGTTCTGTTTTTAGCAGGCTCACGTTTAGCAACTGCTTTGGGCCAAGTATTGTACCTGCTCGGAGTTGGAAATACCAAAGATGAATGCTTGCCTGTGAAGGGTTTATGGTCTGTCAGTACCAAGAAACATAACTTTCTAGACCAGAAGAGTTTAAACTTAACTGAATTATATGCACAGGTGCTTAGAAAGCCTAAAGGATCGGTGTTGATGCTGAAAGCTGTAGAAATATCTTAACCAAAACAGGTAAAAATTAGATAAAAGTCATAATCATTAAAGTCTTAGTGTTGACCTTACTGTAATTATTGTAAGTTAATAAGTAACAGACTCCTCTAGCTGAAATTTAGGCAGGGCCCTTTAAGAATGACATTTTACATCCTTGAATGTTATTTACTAAGTGCCAGACAGTTGACCAAGGGCTGGAGAAAGGGCTTGAATTGCAATAAAGCAAGGAGGATTTTAGCGATAGAGAAGAAATACCCAACTTAACCAGCCAGTTAATCTATTTACCTGAACATTTCTGCAGACATTTAGAAAAAGTTTACAATGGTGAAACTGCGTACATTACAAATCTTAAAGACAGCTCAAGTCTTTTAAGATCCCTGAAAATGATCACAATATTGCAATGATGGGACGAATAAGACTTTTAATTAAAATTTCACTGTGACTAGTTCTAAGAACCTTGTATTGGGGGAAAAATGGTCAACTTTAGAGAACCCATATATTAAGAGGTATTCATTTTGTATTGGCAGTGCATGTTAAATGGTCTTTTATGCATTATTAATTACATGTAATACTGTGCTCTCAACTGACCTACAACTTTAATTTGAATTTAAAATGTATCTTGGTGTTCTAAGGAACCAGAAGCGGCCCCCTAACAGCCTCTTGATGGGGTCAATGCCCTAACAGCCTCATAGAGGATGGGGTCAACTAGAACAGTTCTGCAGAAAGATTGGCTTGATGGAGAGGTTCAGGACATTAGGGAGTTCTGTATATGTGTGGTAGGTGGACTATAGGTGGACTGTAGGTGGACTGTAGGTGGACTATAGGTGGACTGTAGGTGGACTATAGGTGGGCTATAGGTGGACTATAGGACTTCTGTGTAGCAGGTGTAATGTTGCAAAAGACTAAAAGGTCTGAAATGAACTAACATGGAAAGACTGCAAAAGAGTTCCCAGTAAGAATATTCAGTAGTATTTGTAACAAATCCATTTTTGGGAAAGGGGGTAGTGGTGGGGAAGTTTTTGTTGTTTCATGTTTGTATGTTTACTTGTGATGGAGGTCTTGCTAAGTAGTTCATCCAGTCTTTAATTCATGATCTTATTATCTTAGCCTCCCAAGTGCTGGGGCATGAATCGTCATACTGGTCAATTTTTTTATTGATTTATTTTTATGTATATGAGTGTTTTGTCTGCACATATGGAAATGTACCACATGCATGGTTGGTGTTGGTGAAGGCCAGATAAGTACCCTGGAACTGGAGTTATGGTGGTTTTTAAATCACCATGGGGTTCCTGGGAATCGCCAGGTCCTCTGCTGAAGAGCAGCAAATTTTCTTTTTCTTTTATTTTTTTATTATTTTAATTTTAAATAGCTTGTTTTACATGTCAATCCCAGTTCCCTCTCCCTCCCCTCTTCCCGCGGCCCCTCCCACCATGCCCCCCAGCCTCCCACCCTATCGCCATTTTCTTCCACATAGGGGATATCTAGAGTCCGTCATTTCACTCAGGGCAGAGTCCAGGCACTCCCCTAAGAGTCCAGGCTGAGGCATCCCTCTTTGTGTTATGAACACACGATGTCTGTTTGTATGCCAGGGATAAACACTGATCCACTGCCCAGGACCCAATGAGCAGCAAATTTTCTTAACCACTGAGCCATCTATCTCTCCAGGTCTCCCTGGACCCCAGTATTTTTGACTAAACAAAATCATACAAAAATATTTATAATTGTGAATTGTGTCCTTCTCATTCACCCTAGTCAATCATTTAAACGTTTGTATAACAAGATTTAGTGCAAACTCAGTTTAAGCTCTACAGCGAAAAAGACATTCCAGATTATTCCCTCTACTGTAATTCTCCTTACTAGGTCATTTCAGTTATAGTCCTGTAAGATAAGCTAGTTTTTCAAATCTACACATTCATGAAGAAACTTTCCACAGCCACCCGTGCTCCCTTCCACAACAAACAAACAAACAAACAAACAAAACCCTGATAAATTGAACAGGTAGTAGTTGTCTAATCTAATGAGGAATTAGACTGTGTGAAAGAAGGCCTATCTGAGACAGGAGAGATGGCTCCCAGTTAAGAGTGAGCATTGCTTTTGCCCCCATTTCAGTTCTCGGCTTAGATGTTAGATGGCTCACAGTGCCTGACTCTTTGTGGCCCCGTGGGCACCTCACTTGCATGCATGTGTGTGCACAGCACACAATTAAATAACATTGATAACAGTGACTGCTGGTAGAGCAGAAGTTGCTGTAGAACTTAGTACTAAATCTTGATTTGTTGGGGATTCTCCAGAGAATAGAAATGGCTAGAATGTGGCAGTTTATATATAAAAAGAAAACCTGAACGTTTAGGAGATCCTGCTAATGGAACCTCAGTATCAGTTATTGCTGCTAAATTAGTTTTCTCCACCAGAAATTCAATCTACTACTTTAAATATTTCAGTAGTTCGTATCTCCTTCAAGACAGAACTGAAGTAGACTGTAGTTTCCTTGGGTGGTACATTATATTCGTAAGTCTTGATACTAAATTTTGAAGTTATTGTCAAAACATTAATCCTTTACTACTGTGTTTAGTTTCTGACAAGCAAGAGGAACACAAAAATTTGAAAAGGAAATGGAAACCATTTTATTTTTGGCATAGGAGCACTTGAAATTCTGTTACTGGTAATTTGGC